CTAAGCAATTTCACTTTATTTTTATTTTGGGGCCCTTTAGCTGGGGGCCTTAGATGGCTCTCACGAGTTCTCTAGGAAGAACTGTTTATATAACTGATAGACCTAAGTATCCCCTATAACTTAAAGTTAGATGTATGGTTGACATTTTATGAAATATACGCGAAATTATGTTCTACGTGTGACACGAGATCATCCACAACGCATAGAATTCTAATTACCTTGGAAAAAACTTTCTGATTGTTAAAATTTAACATGAGTGGATAGACATAGAAGTTGTTTGCATAGACCATGTGCGGATGAACGGCTTCTGGAATAGCGGGAACAAACTCCTGAACCTCAAGTGTTGGCTGAATCTTACTTTTGTCGTTAAATGGCCGTACGGGTAATAACGATGCCGTCATGGAATCTATGATAAAAAAATGACGTGATTTAGTACAATGATCGCCCGCAAAACATTTGAGAAAAACCCACTTTCATGTATAACATAGATCTTAAGGGACGATATGGCCTGACCCAACCAGGAGCCAGATATACTGTAATTGCTCATTTCTGAGTGGGTGGAACAATCGTACGTCCTAACAGCTCAGTGATCAGAGCGCTGTTACGTTAAATCGGAGCTCTTAGGTTCGGTCATGCAATGAGAGTTGAGGTTGAGGCAATGAGAACATTTTTTCAGAAAATAATCCGACTCCATTTGGGCACCACATTTAGTCTTGTTCTCTGTAGGTGGGGGTTCAAGGTTTCTTTCAATAAGCAATATCAGCTGACAGGCAGTTATCCGAATGGGAAAATAATGTCTTGTATTTGGTGCCCAAAACTATAAGTGAGATATTTTGCTCTTATAAGTGTCAATATTTCTGAAGCTGACTACCACTGCTGCCTCGCTTGTGCTGTCTGAAACCAACAAATTTTACTATAATGATGTCAGCAAAACCTCAAATACTTCAAACTTTTGATCTATCAACCTCGTTCCCGAAGAGCGCGGAGAAGAGTCTGGGGAAGGGAACGAGGTTGACCACTTACTTGCAAGATCGTTAGGTAATGATGTCACATTCATCTTGATAGTTGCTGGAATAATTTGCTGCTTGAATTTTTCTTTGCTAGAAGTCAAGCACAGAAACAGACTACATTTAAGCTGAGAAGAAGAGGGGGGCAAATTTTAATAATTAATAATTCTTTAATAATTGTAATTGGAATATTTTTTATTTGTTCACGAAGTCCCGGACAAAGTCATGGAAAAATTAAGTTTCCAACTAACCCAGCCATATCTTCCACCAATTTTAATAATTCATCATCACTCAGCTTGCCACTATCCTGTACAAAATTTAAAATCACAATAATAGTCTTCAGTTGGTAAAATAAGGTACTTAAATTTCACACTCAAAATTTCATTCTACAAAATCCATCTACAATTAGTTATATCGAGTGTAGGCCCAAAATCCTGACATTTACTTAAATTTCACTGGCAAGACCACGTGTTCAAGTTCTTCATTTCTATGAAGTTCAATTCAAATACCGTTAAAACACATAATTTGTAATTGCCACTGCATGACAAGGGTAAATTACCATATTCTAAATTTTACGCACACCGTTTAATAAAGAACAAAGTTAAAAAAATGTTTTCAATAGTTGACTCTACATTCCTTTTTAAGAATTTATTTACCAGGAATAATTGGAAAATGCAACTACATAAGCCAGTTTTCCACTTCAAGCGTACCGTACCGAAACGTACTAGTGAGCGTGTGTAGATTGAAAAGAGGTTGATAAATCCACGTACTTCCGGGTGTATTCGCGTATCAAAATGAAACGTTCGTCGCAAGTCAACTTTTTGGCGTACTACGGAAGTATTAACCAATCAACATTCACTAAATTTTGAAATTTAAAAATGTTTTTGAAACGTTTCGGTACGGTACCTTGAAGTGGAAAACTGGCCTTCTGGGAAGACTCGTATCTATAGCTTGGGATTCTGGCTTCAGCACTCCGGAACTGACCTACAAGGTCTCGTTGCGAAGAGCTAGTAACAAGTTTTTGTTTGCAGGGTGATGCCAGAATGATGACAGTGTGATCTACTTGGTTTGCTCACAACTCAAAATTCGCATGTATGATAACTATTAGCTCGTTATCTAGTCTGTCCAGATACTGTAACCTGTCTTAGATTCACAGATTTTCACATTACATCCAAAGAACGCCTATACCCCTATCATATAATTATCAATTTCAGTATGGATCATTACCTGTTTTTAACAGTACAGTAGGCCTACCTGTTTGTAAATCGGAGACCACTCCTTTTCATCATCCAAATCGCCTTGGTTGTTTTTGAAAAGTGGCCTAAACAAAATAACGAGATCATATATCTTCAATGTAATTATTGATGGGGTTGTAGATTCAGATAGTTTTAAATTTCAACGATGAACAATATTTGGACCACAATTGGAACAAAAAAATGTAAATCACATTACAGACTATATTAATACAAATATACAGAATATACAAATACAACTGTGATTTACATTTTTTTGTTTACACTTTGTTTTGATTAAATCCATCTGATTGGTTTATATTTTGTCACGTGATAGCTTCTATTAAAAGCTCATGAGATTTTCAAGACCCCCACTAACTTCCCGACGAAGGGCCTTCGCTCAAAACGTCCAATTGCTCACCTTCGAGAAACATGGCCAGAAAACAATGTTTCCTGTCAACTGTGGTTTGTTCATACCACACTTTCTCACCTGGTAGCCAACGCAAACGGCATACGATATCTCCACAAAGTCTGGCAAGCTATTTCAGCACTACGGTAAGCTTTCGCAGCTCCCTTCTTTAAAGCATCACCAGATTTCATATATGGCTCTGTACAACTAGTTATTCCACCTTGAAGAACTTTCTCAATTCTTAGGACAAGATAAACGTCAGGATGTGGAAATGTCACTGAAAATATCGCTTTCTTTGGAAAACTAAAATGATGTTCATATTCACCAACGCCATTAGATATATTCTCAGGCGAAGGCAACATCTCTGAGACAACTGAGTCATTCACATCACAATGAAAATCTTCAGAGATTTTCTTGTTTTCTTTCACATCAAATAAAGCAAGTGTAATAAAGAAAGGTTCGATGTTCACAGAAGAAACGCTGTCAAAACTGCGTGATAAGCGAAATTTAAGATCATCACATTGCACTAGAAACCTCTTGCCAAATCTCTCGTGAGGTATATCAACTTCCTTGACTTCGTCGCCAGCTCCGTTGATATTAGGAGATAAAAAACTTAAAGAAAATATTTTATTCCTTCCTTCTTGACGGCGTTTAGCATTTACTTGATCAGTTTCCCGTGCAAACTCCATCAATTCTGGATGTTTACTCTGTTTTAGACTTTCACGAAAGTTTGTACTTTTCAATACTCTGTTCTTGCCACTAAACCATCCTCCAGAAGACGCAGATTTAGATTTACCAGTGGTCATATCTACACCAGTTACTTTACACAGTACACTTAACCATGACTCCATTTCAGACTGTGTATCAGCAACAAGACTGTATATCTTGTCCTGAATTCGTATTTCAAAACCGTGCATTTTACCACGAACCCCCTATTGAACAGAAAATGTTTCAAGTTTATCGAACTCTGCTGTACAAGTATTTTTAATTATGTACAAATCTAAATTGACTGATTTATGAACTAAATACGTTCAGAATATATATATGTATATATATCATATATATATTATATATATATATATATATATTATATATATATATATATATATATATATATATATATATATATATATATATATATATATATATATATATCGAGTAACTTTTATCATAAATAGGTTTAGGTTTTATTAAATTATCTTCAGATATCATGTCTTAGTCTACACCAATAATAGTTTTGCTCTGCAAAATCTTACCTGCATTGAGCACTCTTCAGATACGTGTCAGCATCGACAAACAAGATATATATATATATATATATATATATTCCGGCTGAAGGAATGGCGCTTTTCAATATAATGGAACAGTGACTATGAGTCCTTGCAAACGTTTTATATAATGTGACCGTTGTGTGTCTGGTTTTATAAAACTATAGTTTTTATATTCGTTAGCTTTGCTCGATTTTGTATATTTGTATTTGTTTTTGACTGACTGATGTGTGAACCGAGTCATTTGGTTCCTGTTTTTAAACTTGTGGCCTTTTACTGTAATACATAAACTAATTGCTTCTTGATAGCTTTAACAATTTATGCTTGACCTGAAACAATTTATAGCATATTACGTACGGGGACTTCAATACCCCGAATGTTTTGCGATATTACCCACCAATGCTTTGCGGGCAAAAAACTTTAAAAACTTAAACTTTTCTGGTATATACCGTAAATTGATATCCTATTACGTGCGTGGACTTCAATATATGCCTCCTCGGCTGCGGGGGCAATAAATGCCATGCATATAAATATAAGGAAACACATTTGTTTACGTACCCTCGTGATTTCCGTACATGCATCCAGGTATATTGATCCTTTGGCAGTAGAGTTCGGGTTATCATCCTGTTTACAAAATACAGAAAGCAAGCATGAAACAAACACAATAATAATATAACTACAACAGTTTCAATGATCGTACAAATACTGTGTAGAACAAGAATGCAATATAATTCTGCACAATAACGAAATGTAATAACGCACAAGATTAAAAAAACTTTCAATACTGCACAACAATACAAGATAATACCTTTCTATATTCCAGGACGTATGAACCATCATTAGAAATTTCTTTTAAGGAAAACCACCGCCTTTTAAATGTCTAAGAACAAGTTTTAAATTATAAGAATCGTATCAAATTTCTAATGTACACATTCTAAGAAAATAAATAACACGTATTAAAATTGTACATTATTACAAATTAACAATTATTGTTACTAATTAATAATAATTGTTACAAAGTAGAAATAATTACTACTTAGTAACAATTAGTAATTACTTGTAATTGTGATTCAATAATATGTTGTTAACCTTGCCACTGAAAAGACCATCACTTTCACTGTGAAATGGAGCTTTGTTCAGGTAACCATTTTTCGTCAAGCCAACTTCCTTACGAGGTGACATGTATAATTCCTGTAATTGGAAAATACCATCATAAAATACCATTACATCATAAATTACAAAATTCCTGTTTAATATGGTAATTTATTTGAATTATTAATATTGTATCCATTAGTTAAATGTTTAATGACAATAAATAAATAATGAACTTTAACCGTGGTGTAAAGCCTGTTTTCTACTTGGCAATATTTTTTCGTGTGATAACAACTGAATGTTTCCGAGATGTGATACTTGAACAACGTTGCAGATCATGTTTCACTCTGCCTGGTGCAAAATGCGCAAGCTGTCAGCAAAACGTATACTTTTCACGCCAGATAGCTCCCCGTAAAGTTCGACATCGCTGATCGTAATTTGTATATTCTTTGAAAAACTCACTTGTTTTACCCAAATTTCACTCTAAAAAAACCATACCGTCTCCAAATACAGTAACACTTTTGTTTGGTTAGAATTTATGAAATACACTGGTATACATCTTTCCTAATATATATTTGCCACAAAATTAATGAATTTGCTTAACATACAGTGACATTTGTGCCTTCTTCTGAATCCAGATCAATTTCAAATTTTTGTTCCCCAAGTTTGCTAAGATCAACATCTCTGAAAAATATTATGCGATGCCATAATTGAGCTGTACTCCCACCTGGAATATTTTAGTATTTTACAGAAATAAATATTTTAGATAATTATCTGATTATTAGTAGTTTAATGCAAATAGCCCTATGTATCTATAATTTATCCTTAACCTTATAATACTATTTGTAAAACAGAGGAATTTTCTGAGGGTACAAGTTCCAAAGTTCATTAGTAAACTATATCAAATCAAATCAAATCAAACATTATGTAGACTTCAAACACTCATTAATTATGTCACGTGCAGTGGCTTTAAACCTGAAAAACACTCCTAATTAGTATTCTTTATATAAAGAATACAAAATATATCTATTGCATTATGCAGTATATCTATTGAATTTGTAGTCGTGTTTGAAGCTGTTTAATAAACTCGCAGGACGTGCTTTATTAGGTCCTTTAAAGCTATAATAAAACACTCCTGTTCGTTTATTAAACGGTACTTGAAATGTTATATTCAATACAGAATTAATAAATATTTTAACGGGTTGTTCAGCTCCCGATATCCTTGCACTATTCACCTCCGGACAAAAACAAAATGGCTTCCCGTTTCGTTCCGGCATGGATAATAAAATAAATGGATAGGAAACTAGCTGACGTGACCAAATGTTTTCAATGGGCTGATGGCGTGATTGGATGTTGAAACCTAGTTGCAAACCAAATTCTCATGTTTAGCAATGATATAGCCTGCGAACAGGCTCTCAAGCTGAATTGAGAGCCTGCATCGATGACTAATGAATTTGAATATCTGCTCCGTAACGTTCGTTTTTCCAAATATGGAATGCCTATCCTTATATGGTGTTGTTTACAACTTTCGTGCAAACTAAATTTAGACCGTACAGTTTATACTGTTTTTCGAAATATAAGATATTCAAGCAAAAGTTCAAATGTTTTAAATACTGTTTTCTCAAAATCAGATCATTTCGTGCTTTGAGATAAGATGGCCAAAACCAATTTGATCATTTAAGGTGGCTCGATACAGTTTTCAAAAATTCAGGTGTTCAACACTTTGACATGTTCAAACTACGCATTTGTAGGATTTATTCAGCAGATATTGGGTTTTTTATATATTTTGATAACTCTACTTTCAAATTATATTAGTTTTAGTAACAGATAGTAGTTCGTTGTTATGACGACATACGTGTACGAAATTCACTCCAAAATGGCCTATCGTCTCGTATAGTTGAAAAAGAAGCATGGTGACCCCCAATTTTTTTTCGTGCATTATTTTACTTGGACGAAAAGCTAACAATTAGCAAAATATAAAAAAATTCTGTAATGTCATTTTTTTCGAAAATGCGAAAATGTCATATTCTTCGGTAAAATTTTTTTGGCATTACAGAATTTTTTTATTTTTTGTAAAATGAAAGTTTTTAGCGGTGCAATACAGCATGCAAAATTTGAACATAGGTCACCAGACAAAATAAAGAGATACAGCGCATTGTTTTTCTAAAATGGAAAATTCTAATGACGTCAGCAATTGATATAAAACGCTATAAAACATGCGCAATGGCGTGATATGGCGCGAGCAACTGCTCACGTCAAGTCATTTTGGAAGTTCTTTCATTTTGTTAATCAGTTTCCGCGACCTGCGCATAAAAATGGTCACTCGGTACGTTTTGAGTTTGCGATTCTTGAGCAGGGTTTTTGTAATAACTATATCGAGCCACCTTAATGTGTTTTTTTATGCATAGTGCTTCGGCAGATAACATATATAGAGCTCAGCGGAAACATATAAATTATAGCATCTGACCAATGAGAATTTCGCGTCACGATTTGAGACGCAGATATTCAAATTCATTAGTCATCGATGCAGGCTCTCAATTCAGCTTGAGAGCCTGTTCGCAGGCTAGCAATAATACAGCTAAACATTTTAGTCAAAGAGCAAATGAATATAACCACGCCATTCTACGATGAAATCTCTAAGTATTCCCAGTCAATTTTAGCAAATATTTCAAGCACTAAACAGTGAAAAAGGCATCCCAAATTTCGTTAAAAATTGGGGACGCCAATTTCGTAGCTACAAATGTAAAAAAAATACAAAACAAAGACGAAAAAGATTTACCTTGAATACTTTGTCGTGGCTTAGGCATGTTTTTAAAACAATTAGACCAGTATATGCTTCAATATTACTCTTTTAAAGCGGAAAGTATAGCGAAACAACAAAAATGTCGAGAACTTTGCAATATGCGTGACGTCACAGATTGCAACTAGGTTGTTTTTGCTTACGTCAGCTAGAGTCCTATCCATTTATTTTATTATCCATGGTTCCGGTTACAGACCAGTTACAGACGAGCAAATTTTTGTACTAAACGACGCTGTGATTTCGCCAAACACGAAGAAAACAACAAAGTTTTGTTTAACAATGTGTCTACAGAGGTATTGTTTACAACTATTGCGGGACTTCAGGAGTTACAAATTTTTAAAAAATATTTTCGACGTTCGTGTTCTTTTTTGTCATTCTTGTTTTGGTTCACGTCGAGCTGAATATTCTTGCACTATTCACTGACACTGAGCCTAAGGTGAATAATTGTTAAATATAATTACTTGTATAATTGGTGATAGCTTCCACTGTATTGGGAATATTTATTCTCGATGGTCTGCCAGTTTGATGTGTATGTCTTTATGCACTAAAAATGAAAACAAGATAAAAATTAAAATAAATTTGATAAAAATTTGATAAAAAACATCATTTGCATTGCGAACTGACGCTAAAAATTGTCTCTTGGGACATCGTATTAAGTGTTCTTCCCCGTTTGACGTCATTAGAAAGTGTTTTACATGTATTAAGATTGATCAAGTTGTTTTAAACTCTTGTTTATATTCTTCTAATTATCCAATTTACAAATATATTCCGAATTACAAAGCCCCGTACATACAGACGGGCAATTTTTCATCGCGTGTCTACGGCAAAAAATTGACTACATTTTTCCTTGCCAAGGACCTTGAAGGACCCTTGGAGTGCTCGGTTCTGCGTATCTCCCGTAAAGTGAATAGAATCGAGCACTCTTACCAAATTAATGATTCGGTATTACCTACGCTCAACAAAATCAAAGATCTTGGAGTACACATTACATCAAATCTGGATTGGACGGAACATGCGTACAACGTCAGCAAAAAAGGGAACAAAATGTTGGGATTACTTAAGCGTTGTACCGTAGCATTTCAATGTCGTGAAACAAGACGTTTGCTCTATCTTACACTTGTAAGATCTCACTTCTCCTATGCAAGCCAACTCTGGGCTCCACAAAAGGTCAACCCCATTCAAGAGATGGAGAAAGTGCAGAGACGGGCGACTAAGTTCATTTTAAATCTTAATCATCTTTCAGAAATGCCTTACCGAGAAAGACTATTGTCTTTGGATATTTTACCTGTATCCTACTGGCTAGAACTGCAGGATCTGCTTTTCTTATTTAAAGTCATTAATGGTTTGGTAATCTTACCTATAGGCGTCTGTCCTGCATTTTACGTTGCAGCAAGATGTACACGCAGCAGTACAGGGAAACGAAGACAGTTAGTTGTAAGGAAATGTAGAACTACCACTTTCCAAAATAGTTACTTTGTTAGAGTAGCCAAATTGTGGAATATTCTACCACTCGAACTAACATTAGAAGAAGAGACATTCCAAGGTTTTAAAAGTAAACTGAACAAGTATTATAGGGACGCCCTAAGAACTGTTTATAACATTGATGACTGCAGAACTTGGAAGTCAATATGTATAAAGTGTAGAACTGCACGCTTGTTGCACAACAAGATTCATTGTTGTTTTTAACATTTTTACATCTCTGACACTTTAATAATATAATGGATATGTGTATGTGATAGTATGTAACTTGTATCAGTATGTATTGTAACTTCTATTTTAGTTGGGGGTACAGTAATTGGGGTAACCTGTTGTACCTTTTCCATTTTTACCTCTATAAAGGTTTAATAAAGTGATTTAAACATTAAACATTAAACATTGGAAAATGTGTCCCTGCATGCGTGTATACGGCTGTCATGGAAAACTTGACAAGTACGTGTACAAGAAATATTACCCTGGTTTTGGCAGAAATTAGAAGGCGGCCTTGGCGTGAGATAAATGTTTAACAAATTCCGCGCACACAAGCAACAAAACTTCTCAAGGTAAACTTGTCAAGGAAAACTTGTTGACCGCACATACGAGAAGGAAAACTTGTGAAGGAAACTTGTCAAGGAAAACGCGCTCGTCCGTGTTTTTTTGAAAAAAATTAATGTGATCTCGATATTGCTCTTTATCACTCTATGTTTTTTAAATAGCTACATAATAGGCTATATATAGGCATGGAGTTACTTTTCAAGAGCAACGCGGAAATATCATCCATACAATATGTAATCGAAACCCTATTTTTAAATCTCGCCGAAATAAAACGTGCTCAGCTCTTTCGAAATATATTTGGGGGAAAAAAGAAAATCACAAGATTTTAAAAAAGGTCAATCTTAAAACACTCGAATTCCTACATGCGAGGATCAAAAAGATGTTTTTTGTGTCCAGTAGAAAAATATTGTTATTATGAATGAAAATAAACGATATTTGCTTATATATAGTTATTTTAAGTTATTATAAGTGAGAGTTAGTAATTTACATTTTACGACGAACAACGGGTAGCTAATTTACATTTAAAAACGAAAAGCTCTACACTCTACTATATATATACTACTTTCTGCCCTAGAAAAGAACAACCAATATACTACTTATCACAATAATGATTCTCGAAGAATTAGTAGGTAGTGTTTTATCGCTTTGCTCAAGTTTGATAACACAAACACCACCACTATCCCGAGAACAATTAAAGTCAAAGACAGTTTAGAATGATATTTGAAGACACTGATGAACAAGATGAAGTATACGATGACTTAATACACCGTGAGTATGAGCAACAGCCAGAGCAGCAGTTACCATATTACGAAGATGATATTTCTGTTTTGGTACAACCAGATGGACAATCTAGCCGAGACTTTGCCCAATCATTCTTCCGAAGTTTTCAAGCTAATGTTGGATTAATAATGGCGGTTGTTTTCATATTCGGTTTGCTTACACTTGGTGTTGTCTATGTGGACTTGAACACAACTGATGCGTGCATCGAATGGATGCATAACAACTACAGTATTCCAAGAGTTGTGAAGATTTTGCAAATTGTTGGAATGTCTTTCGAATTACTTCCATTGTTTACATGGTTTCCGGCATGCATTGTAATGTTGTGGGGTTTCAAAGAGTTCAAGAAGAATTATCCATCGTGTTTACTTGTCTGTCAGTTGGTGATAGGATCCATAACCTGTGTTTATAGAATTGTTACGGTTGACGTGGTAACACCAACCACAGTTGATTATAGCAAATACAGGTTAGTAAACCGACAACTATATAACATGAGTTGTCCTTTGGCCTCAGTCCCCCTCAAGATTAAGTTGACTTACATAGTCAGCGGCGAGGGAGGATGCGGTGTCACACCCACGCCTATAATTCTTCCGGATCTAAGTAACAAGCTAAAAACCAAATGTTCCAATTCCAACTCTATTTCATTATCTCTTTGAGCACCTTTCAATAACTTGCCAATGTAATTGAAAACATGTAATAATTGTCATAATGAAATCGAATTGCCAGGGCCACGTTTCAGTGAATTTTCATTTTTTTCATTTGCATATTTTTTAGTGTCCATTATAGGACATAGAATTTACAATCCCATTGACAATCCCATTGAACAACGAGCAACCCGACTCACCAAATATATTGATTTATGAGTTTATACTCTCTTCTTTAGGTTACTCGGTAACGTGTTATTTATCCTTTCCATCGTCTGTGGTGCTTACCTAGTTGCTCGTAAATTCAAGAAAGTCAACCCAGCAACATCCTACGGTTTGTTTCATATTTTTTTCATCCTTTCGTTCGCCTTTCTGGGCTCCAGCTTAATTGCTTATATCTACACCTATATTATTATCAAAGATTTTAAGGAAACAGAAGGCAAGGTCAAAAAAGCGATAATCGCTGCACTCACGCCTGGGATATTTTTCCCTGTAACTGCGATTGCAAAATACCTTTTAATGAGAAAGAGCTCGGAGATTATTACACCAGATCGTGCTTTTGTACTGTGTTATTTCCTACGCGAGGCTTCCATTGTACTGTACCGAACAATGCAGTCAGATTTTCAAAATATCTGGCTTTTCATTGGATTATCTCTGTTACATGGTGTCTCAAATGTTATCAGTAAAGCAACGCTTAACTTTCGTATAAAAATGTGGACGTTTTTCATCAAATGTCTAAACAACACTTGCTGTGGCCCAAGATTAGAAGTGCAACCTTTAAATTCACCACGTATTCGTCGATTTAACGCAGATCTTGAAATTCAGAATATCTTATTCGAGTACACTACGGTCATCTTAAGTCAGGTATATATGGCGTGTTATCTTGTAATGAGCTTCGATATCTCACCCTGGCAAGTCATACAAGGTTCTTTAACCAGGATAGCCATAAGTTTGGCCTTAGATTTTCTATTCAACATGATTTCAGTTTTCATTCAAATTCACTATTATGACATCCCAATGCGAAAGGTGTGGCTGAAATATTGGCCACGTCACGTGGCTGCAAATACGTTAATCATTATCTGTATGGTGCCGTATTTTGGGCCATCACTGGTCAGTGTGTTCGCAGGCTACAAGTACATTTGGAAAGAATACAAACTTCGAAATTGTACATCGATATTTTAATGACACCCAAGTTGGATACCATGCAGATTTCCTGTAAACTTGTCAATGATATCATAGAACGACATCACAAGGATTAGGGTTATGATTAGAAATTAAGGGTTTGGGTTAATGTTGGGGTTGGGATTAAGCCTGATTCACACTAGCAATTTTGTCGACGAGTTTTCTCCTCCTGGAAAATGTGATCAAATGAATGACATGCAAAAGACTTAGAATTGTTTACTTCTAAAAAGCGACTCTGTACTTTTGTGTGCGAGTTCACCCATTTGCATCCGTCAGAAACACAAAATCGCCGACAAAATTGCTAGTGTGGACCACACTTTAATGTTAGGCTTAGAATAAGAGTGGGGTCAAGATTAATGTAAGGTTAGGGTTAGGATTGTATTTAAATTAAATCTTTTGTCAACAGAAAGCACGCCAATGGTATCTTCCACCAATTCGTCTGGCAATTTCTTTCCCATCCCCGTCACTTACACGTTTGCCGTTTCCGTCTGGACGTTTGGATGTTTTTTCTTCTGTTTCGCACTTCTTAACGTCTTCAATTTCTGACCACTTTCCTTGCTCTTTATTACTCGTGCCAGGCCTTTGGCAGCACGAGTATAAGAATGGGGAGCGTCTCTTCATTTTCCCCTTTTTTTAGTGTCAAATTCGACATTCCACACGTCACCCGTAGACAATGTTTCGTTACTAGTTCATACAACTTTAAAGATGTTTCCCTTGTATTTTACAAGGTAGCGTACTAAAAGTATTCACAGTATATACTTTGCGTGATCTAACATTTATAATTACTGATTTCATTGCGTAGACGGTGGCATGCATGCCATGGTTTAGTTTGCTACGAATTTGCACGAAGCACTATCTTGCTGGCGAATATTTTTTTCTCTTGGAGACAATCTTTGGGTGACGGATCAGGTAACATTTACAAACATACGGCGGTAGACATGCTATATTTCACAACAAAATATGCGAACACTATCTTTCTCCTCGCGAAGCATTGTTTCTCTCGCAGATGTTATAACTTATAGTCTTACCCTGTATAATGCCCCTACTTGTGTCAATTTTTCCCCTTCCAGCCTTCGACGCACCGAATACTGTTTTAATTTGACAAACGAATGTTTCGTTCATCTTCGTAGTGTAAATGTATTGTAATAGTACTCATATTCTTAAAATAAATCACTGATTTTAAGCGTGGACGTCTTCGCTTGCAAACCATGCGAAATGCCTCTCCTCTCCCGAGGCATTATTTCTTAACAGACGTCATATCAGCCGATCAATATTTTTGCCTTCCAAGCCTTCGACGCACTGGAGTATTAAAATTAAACTGTTGATCCTCAAAATGACACAAATTTCATTCTGTTTTTGCAAACTTGCAATTGTTCCCCGTATCCCGCCAGTTCTACTGTCCGGCACGAGTTAATCCTGCAAGGCGAGGATCTTGTTATAAATGACAGGTAAGTTAATTTACATTTAACGACGAAAAACAGATAGTTCATTTACATTTAACGACGAAAAACAGATAGTTCATTTACATTTAACGACGAAAAACAGATAGTTCATTTACATCTAAGGACGAACAGCTCTGCACTATACCATCAGCGTTAGAAAAGAATAACTAATATACAACCTATCACTGATAATGATTCTGGAAGAATTAGTAGGTAGTGTTTTATCGCTTTGCTCAAGTTTGGTAACACAAACACCACCAATATCCCGAGAAGAAAGACAGCTTACATTGATATTTGACGAAACTTATGAACAAGACGAAGTAGACGATGGCTTAATACACCGGGAGTATGAGCAACAGCCAGAACAAGAGCTGCCTTATTATGAAGACGATATATCTGTTTTGGTACAACCAGATGGACAACCTAGCCGAGATTTTGCCCAATCGTTCCTCCGAAGTTTTCAAGCTAATGTTGGATTAGTAATGGCGGTTGTTTTCATATTAGGTTTGCTTACACTTGGTGTTGTCTATGTGGATTTGAACACAACTGATGCGTGCATCGAATGGATGCATAACAACTACAGTATTCCAAGAGTTGTGAAGATTTTGCAAATTGTTGGAATGTCTTTCGAATTACTTCCATTGTTTACATGGTTTCCGGCATGCATTGTAATGTTGTGGGGTTTCAAAGAGTTCAAGAAGAATTATCTATCGTGTTTACTTGTCTGTCAGTTGGTGGTAGGATCCATAACCTGTGTTTATAGAATTATCACGATTGACGAGGTACCACCCACCACAGTTAATTATAGCAAATACAGGTTGGTAAACCCATACCTAACTTTAAGAATTTTGTATCACTGCACATTTTTGTGCAAAGTTTAGCCGAGCCGAGCAGAAGCACGCCCTGAAAATTTCTGAACATGTAGTAGATTGACTAATAAGTTAATTAGTAATAGGTGTTTATTTTGACATGTTTAGGAAGTGACATATTATATACTAAATTGGTTATTGTTTTAACGAGACGACGTTCGTTGATATTTTTTAAAAGAGGGTTCCTTATAGCGAAGCGAATTCGCTATTGTAAATTACAGATTAAATAAAACGAAACTGTGTACGACTCATTTAATTTTGTGTAGTTGCCAAACACTTTGCTCAATGAGGCACTCTGCTACATTTTGGCACCTCCCGACGCGATTCGACTTGCAAAGAGCTACAACGTAAACAATATTATATTTTTGTAACATGGAATTTACGGCGGCGGAAAAAATTGAGATTGAAAAGAGTAGAATTCTTACAATTATAAAGGGAAAGGAATCACTTGAAAGTCTTACGGTGGCTCAGTTGGCTGAAGAATATTCAACGCGATACAAGTGTGCTATAGCGTGTTATAAAGCGGAATTTGTGTCTGTCGAAGCGTTTTTAATATTATATTAAATATTATCGATGAAAAAGTGTGTTTGTCTACAAGCTCTACGAACATTGCGTCTTCGAGTGAGAAAGCGACCGGTGAGACATCTTCGTCTGTACATTTAGTATCGAAGCCTCAGTTCTCCCCATTTTTTGGATTTAGTGACGGTGATAAAACAAAGGAGTCGCATATAATGTTTGGCGATTTAAGTCGCATATAATGTTTGGCGATCTGTAATAAAAGGCGCATTCTATGAGTATCCAGACGAAGTTATTTTGGAGCAAATACGACGTTCGTTGCAAGAAGAGGCGAAAGCAAAAATTGTTGGGTTTGGTTCTGAAACATCCTGTGAATCTATCTTGGGAAAATTAGATCAGTTTTATAGCGATGTCGGCGCGGCTACTGGAGATGAATTATTGGCCGAAGCTATCAAATGAAGCAAGGTTAGAACGAGGAAGTTGCAGCATTCGCGTCGAGATTAGATAGCTGCTTGCGCTGGGCGAAAAGACGGGGCACAGAAATCCTTCCAGACGACGAATTGGTCGAACGACAGCTGCGAATGTTATTCTGGGGGGGAATGAAAGAATCGATAAAAGACAAAGCTCGGCACAAAAAGGACAATTGCAAAACGTTTGCAGAATTGATAACAGCTGCGAGATATGGAGAGCAGGAACTGGGCTTTAATCAATCGACTCGAAAATTCGCTCGAGCCAATCAAGCCATTTATCAAGAGCCTGGCCAGAAGTCTCCACCCCAGTCACATAATGACGGGGATAAAAAAGAGTGGATAGCTGAGATTTGCACTGCCATGGCAAAAGGAGTCCGAGAAGTATTAAAGGATCAGGCAAAACCAACTGATGCAAGAAATGTGGGTGATGAGCAAAGAGATTACGACCGACGATCGAGAGGATGGCCAACCGAGGTACCGACCTGTTACCGGTGCGGACAAGCGGGTCACATCCAAATTGGCTGCAGAAACCCCCCACTACGCGACGAAAGGTCGACGGGAAACGAACGAGGACCTCTGCCAAGGGGCAACCAGAGGTTCTAAACGCGAATATAAATGCCCCTCATCTCGAAAAATCGGCATATGTTTCAAAAGAACTTATTGGGGATGCCACAGAGGCAGTTGCTTTTGTCATGCTTGTCTTGCATTGCTAGACACAGGTAGCCAAGTTACTTCAATTGCGAAGTCATTTTACGACAGACATTTATTTAACCAACCTATTGAACCTATCGAGAACATAGTTCGTGTTGTTGGAGCTGGTGGACAAGAGGTTCCATTTCTTGGATATGTTACCATACATGTCAGTTTTCCTGAAAACGATGTCGGGATTCGGGGTACTTTAACAACCCTTGCACTAGTTGTGCCCAATAACAGCTATAATCAGAGAGTGCCAGTTATAATCGGAACTAACTTAGTGAAACAATGCAGGAATGCATGTCAACAAATAGCGGGCCAGAACTTCCTGCAAACTGCCAAAGTTTCATCTGCTTGGAAACGAGTATACCAATTCGTCCAGTCACAGGATCGATTTCTTCAGCGACAAGACAGCTTTGGCGCAAAGGTAAAATCAACGAGTCGTCATCCAACCACTATAGCTGCACATGAAACGAAGATACTTATTGGGTTGGCAAACAGTTGTCTAGGATCATTAACCCAAGTTGTTGTGGAAACCAGTACGAGATCTGATCAAGTAGCTGGAATAGTTGTTACCCCAGGACTTGTTACGGTAGGTCCGCATAAGTCGTCTTGCAGAGTACCAGTAGAGATAACTAACAACTCTGACCATACAGTTGTCATTCCAGCAAAGGCTGTTCTGGCATCACTGAAGATCGCTAAAGATGTAATCACTCCTACGGCCACTGAAGACACTGCTACAACAAACTGCAATGATGATTTCAGCAATTTATTTGATTTAGAGGCAACAAATTTAAATGCCGGGCAGAAGAGAAGAACAATGGATATGTTAAAGAAGGTGTCATATGTGTTTGCGAGGGATCAGAATGACCTGGGTTGTGCTCCAGATGTTGAGCATGAGATACACTTGAGTGATAGTATCCCAGCACGGCAACCATGTAGACGAGTACCACCAGGGCAACTCGAAGAATTTAAAGAATCTATCGAGCAGATGCTATCATCCGGAGTAATTAGGGAATCAAAGAGTCCATACGCGTCACCAGCTGTATTAGTTCGTAAAAAAGACGGTGGTCTCCGAGTGTGCATTGATTTTAGAAAGATAAATTCTAAGACGATTAGAGATGCCTATCCTCTCCCTCGTATTTCTGATACCTTGGAAGCCCTGGAGGGTGCTCGTTGGTTTTGTTCCTTAGATCTTCAAAGTGGTTAACATCTTCAGGTTAGGGTTGCAGAAAAGGATAAACCAAAGACGGCGTTGACAACACCCTTTGGTCTATATGAATTTAATCGCATGCCTTTCGGTTTAACCAACGCACCGGCAACGTTTCAACGCCTCATGGAACGATGTTTATCTGGTCTTAACCTTAAGATCTGCCTTGTCTACCTCGACGATGTTATTGTCTTTGCCCGAACCTTCGAAGAAATGTTGGAGAGATTAGAAGCTGTGCTCAGGCGTCTTGGAGAGTTCGGCTTGAAGCTGAAACCATCGAAATGTAAGCTTTTCCAAACCAAGCTTACCTATCTGGGACATGTCGTGTCTGAAAATGGCGTAGAACCAGATCCCGAAAAGATTTCAGCACTACCCAAATGGTTGGAGAATCCACCGAGAAATCGAAAGGAACTACAAACCTTTCTAGGCTTTGCCGGGTACTATCGCAAATTTGTCGAGGGATTTGCCAAGATTGCTGCACCGTTATATGACCTGATTAAAGAACCAAACGCTAAAATGCCTCGGACATTCCTGTGGACTGAAACTTGTCAATATGCTTTCGAATCACTTATTTCCAAGCTGTCAACACCCCCTGTCCTGGCGTTTCCTGATTTCACTCTACCGTTTGTTTTGCACACCGATGCTTCAGGCGTGGGACTGGGTGCAGTTCTTTACCAATTGCAAAGTGGCAAGAAGCGTGTTCTGGCGTATGGGAGCCGTTCCCTTACTCATTCGGAACAACGCTATTGCGCCTATCGTCGAGAGTTTCTTGCACTGAAATGGGCAGTCACAGAGAAGTTTCGTTCTTATCTGTACGGTAGGAAGTTTCATGTTATCACGGATAGCAACCCGTTGACTTACCTACTGACGTCGGCAAAGCTTAGTGCAACTGATCACCGTTGGTTGGCCAGTTTGTCGACCTACGATTTTACGATAAGCTATCGGGCAGGGAAATGTTGTGGTGATGCTGATGGACTCTCTAGAATACCTCGGGAAGGAGATACCCCTCGACATGGAGAAGAAATGACGCCAGACGCAGAGTATCTCCGACCGTTTCTAGAACGATTACATGCATCAGAGTCAGACACAGTAGTGACTTATGTCCAGCAGGAGTTCCAAGCTCTTTGTGATTACCATATTGCCTTCGATCCCGCCAACGAAGAAACCACCTGTCCCGCCGTAGAGACGCTGGGTATTGACGTATCAGCTATTGAAGCAATATGTAAGGAAGCAAGTCCCACTCGTGAAGGAATTGGTGTGGACATGATTCCACCACTCGAATGGCAATTGATCCAACGTGAGGATCCAGAAATTGGACGAGTAATCGAGATCTTGACTCGCCAAACTACTGGAACTGGCAACGTGAATGATGGGGACACTATGGTTAACCGGTTGTTGAAAGAAAAACACCGCCTTGTGTTCAAGGATGAAATTTTGTTTCGGGAACGCCTGATAGATGGTGCAAAACTAAAACAACTTGTGGTCCCTCGTGCTATGCGAAAGCGTATTCTCTGTGGGTTACACGATGACGTCGGACATCTTGGCAGAGATAAAACCATTGACCTGGTCTGCCAACGTTTCTACTGGCCCGGGATGACAGCGGACATTGAAGTCCATATTCGTGACTGTCACCGTTGCCTCTTGCGGAAAGCTGCTGACCCTCCACGTGCTCCTCTGGTGCCAATCTTGGCGTCAGAACCTATGGAACTCCTAGCTATCGATTTTCTGAGTATTGAAAAGGGGAAGGGAGGATATGAAGATGTGTTGGTCGTGACGGACAGCTTCACAAAATATGCTTGGGCCTTTCCGACTAGGAACCAAAAGGCCACAACTGTCGCCAAGGTGTTGTGGGAAAACGTGTTTGTCCACTATGGCTTACCACGTAGATTACACTCTGACCAAGGCCGAGATTTTGAATCAAGATTGATTGGTGACCTTTGCAGGGTTGCTGGTATCCAGAAGACCAGAACAACGCCATATCACCCCCAGGGAAACGGCCAAACTGAGCGGTTCAACAGAACACTGCTCAGCATGCTTGGAACCCTAAGTGAGGACAAGAAGACCGACTGGCCAAGCTACGTCGCACCAATGGTTTACGCCTACAACTGCACAAAGCATGGGTCCACTGGGTACTCGCCATATTATTATACGTCTTTATTAAAAATTGAAGTTGCAACAAACGTGCATCTTTACAGTGCATATAAGATATGTATAGATATATATATATATATAGTAATTATTAAAACGTTCAGTGCATATGAGAATTGTTAAATTAGATTATTTACAAATTTAGTATTATTTCTAAATTAAATTATTTACATGCATTATAGTTAATATTATATATCGTATATAACAAAATTTTAAAACTAAAAGTCATTAAAAAGACACTTGTTCAAAAATGATTGTTTAAAACGTTCTGTGTAAACTTTTGGTAACATAAATTGATGATCGCGTTCTCTTAAAGGTCGTCG